TCCAATATCAAATGAAACGGTAATATCTCTCCTTTTATAATTCTATCCAATTTCGACAAGAATTTTTTAAATTTTTCTCTTCTGTCTTCAGTTACAGAATCTCCACTGGAAAAGGGAATTCGCGACTCCAACTCTTCATAGGCTTGTCGTAACAAACCTTCGACTGTAGTAAATCTACCACCAAGCGTCCCGGATAACAAGTCGAGTTCTATTTCGGGGATTGTCAATCCGCACGTCTCTGCCTTGAGAATGTCGCGTGATAAGTCTTCCAGTTCTTCGACTTTGAGCTTTATGCGTTTTCCCTTTGGCGAAATCGGACCGCCGGCCTTTACTTCGTTGGATTTGTAACCACAGGCCTGCATTGATAGGTTGTAGTGCGTCAGTTAAAGCAGTTGATATTTGAATATGCTAATGCGACATTTGATGGAAAAGCTGGGATAGGAATGCCTTTTTCATACTTACATCACACGTAGTAGACATAATGACGACTTCTTTAAAGTGAGGAATATTAAGTACTTGCATCCGCGTTTCACCTGGCATATTACATTCAGAACAATTGCCAGGGAACGTCATTAGATCGGGTATAACGTCATCATCGTCTTTAGTGTCGGTAGTGATCTCATTATGGGCATCAACTGGCTCTACGTCGGGATTGATCAGTCCAAGGGCGATATTCATTTCGCGCGTTCGAGGATAATGACGAATTTTTAATTTGGTGTCCAAGTTGGGAACATTAAAGTTCTCGATATAGCTTTATGAAAACAAATCGTTCAATATGAGTCCCCATAATAAAAGTAAACATTATACTCTGGGCATGTACTTTGTAAACTCACCTATTACCAGATGGATCATCTATACTGATCGTAAACTCTTCTGCATTCTCTTTGTAACCTTTCAGTTTTTCAATAATGCCCTCGATCTTTTCATATGTTACTTTATCCATATGTTTCCTTACCGGCTGGCCAGAGGAAAGATCGTCAATAATCGCAGAGATCAAGCCTTCGACAGTGGTCAGAGTACCACGCTTACTCGACGACGGTAGCTCAAGATCAAGCTCATGGAATTTGATAGACGCATTTTCGGATTTGACTAATTGACGATTAAGATCTTCCGTTGTAGATATCTTGCACGTATACACGCAGCCTTTTTCAGCATATGATCCGGCAAATTGGACTTCATTGTTTGAAAAACCACAATGCTACAAACAAGATTGACCATCAACAAATGTTGTTCCTGGGCGTAATTTAGTACTTGACAAAAAAGAGAGGCAAAAGAAACTATGAAACGTACTTCACATTCGAAACTCGTGACTATTATGTCTCTCCAGTGAGGGATTCGAGTAAGCAATAATTTTGTAATGCCCTATATATTGCCGCCCAACAATATCAGTATTAAGAATTTCTTCAACTGCGCATTTCAATGAGAATGCAAGCTCACATTTTCCTCACAGTTGACACAATAACTTTCTATTTCCGTTGGTCTCGTATCATCAGTCTCATGTTCGACGATTTCCCCTATATCGTGGAAAATTCTTTCCTTGTTTTGATGCAGGTCTGTTTCCGACATGCTGTGCAATTAAGGTGTAAAAATTTCAAAACCAAAAATTTCGAGGTTTTAAACTCCGTGGCGAAGAAATCGGTAACAGCGAGATCACATGTTTTAACAAACGTCCAATCAATTCTAAAAGTATCTCGAGTGCAAAAGGACTATATTCACGCGAGAAAAGATTGTGGATGGGGGCTACCTTTCTCGTAGCCCCCCATCGATCCAGAAAATTACAGAGTGACAAATGCAGAAAAGAATGGTTCCGATAGTAGCACACAATGGCATCATTCAACGTCACATAAACAATTCTATAAAGTGATTTATTTCAAAGAAGACTCGTAACAAATGTGTAGGACTTCCGTTTGGTCAAAAAGCATATTTACAATTCACACACACAATACATAACGGGTTACAATCATGATATTATTAGACATGCATGCACGAATTCGTTTCTTATACCTTTGCATCTAACGAATAACACGAGTTAATCGCGTAGCTTCAACTAAAAAAAAAAGCATCTATCATTGAAATTGAACCCCCCCCCCACCCTTTTTTTTCTCACTCCTTCAATCCCTCAAAGGAGAGAGTACGTACTTATACGTATATAAGTACTGTTTACGAGAATGCAAGCTTTCCATAATCCAGATCAGAATATTGTCATCAATGCAAAGCATACATACAAAAGCCCAACAGGATATGCTACCAACAAACGTTGTTCAGACATTTGAAGAACTGTCACAAACATCGTCGAAGAGGAGTAAGTGCACCATATGATGGCCGCTCCTGAAGCAAGTAATCCGAGCGGACCGCTATATAAATAAAAAGGAAAATGTCAATTAACCGATAAATTGAAGGCGGGAAAATATGTCAACCATTTACCCATTCGATTAGCAACTAGCATACCTTAGAGGAACCGCTACTCCGACGCAACTCAGCAATACCAACGGTAATAAACAGTATCCTAGTACGCTCGCTGTCCTATATCCATCAACTCCTGATTCACTCATCAAATTGAGGATCATGTAAATGGAAAACCACCCGAGAACTGCTACACCGTAGATATATCCAAAGTGAACTTTTCCTGTCTACACAGAACAAAAAGAACCGTATCCTTATTGAATAAAAACGAGCAGTACTATGTAATTTCAATATGATGATAAATTATTGCGCGAATCTCTTACGAGAAGCAAAGACAAGCCAAATACGAGACAAAAAAGAAGAGGCCCAGCCAAGTCTGTGTCGTCCATTATATTCTTATCAACCGTTCGAAGCGGATTCAAGGCCGCGAGACTCTATTGATGTTATCATAAAAGCGATTAATCTAAATTATGGCCAATTACAACAAAACTGCCCATCGCATTCAATTTAAAAATAACGTACCTTCATTTTTATGTGAACAAAATTAATACCCAATTCTAATTAAACCAAATGAAAGACACGTTAACAAGTCAGTAGTTGAACTCGGCCTTTTTTGTATAAATCCGCGAAAATGTCACACACCTTCCAACAGTGGCGGCTCGTCGGCAAATCCACCAGTTCCAAATGCACTCCAAAAACTACCGGTACTTCCTCCCTGATGATACCCCGGTGTGTAAACGTTAGCGTCGTTCTGTGAGTAGTAACCTCCAACATTTGTAGTGTACGCGTTAGGATCACTGTAGGTTGTTGTGTAGAATTGTAGATTGTCGGGTGCCGTATACTCGAAAAACTCGGAATTATCAAAGATCACTGGCTGGGCCTGATTCGTCATTGGTAAAACTGTTCTCTATGATACTTTGAAAAGTGTGGTATGCTGTATTTCAAAGTGAAAAGAGTATATATGATATGTGCGATAAGTCGTATTAGTGAGTGGTAAGCCTTGTACACGTGGCAATGATAGCTTGGATAGAATGTGATCACGTGAATATAGCAATTTTTGCGTTTTGGGAAAGAGGTAAAAGCAAGAGCCCTTCTTTGGTTTTAGTGAATAAAACATGTCGGCCTTTGTATGTTGTCAAACGGGATTCGTAGTTTGTTCTAGTATTTCGCGAGTCTAATCGTCTTTTTTGCCCCCATTCTAGTCCGAGTGGCAAGAGGCAACACCGTATGATGCGCCTGTCGCACGATCACTCTTCCCTACATTCGCTCTACTGCTTTTCATAGCCGGTTTTATAACAACAAGTTCATTCTCTGTGTATCCTTTGATATGTTTAACGGAAGGTTTCCTTTTCATTCCGTAATTGGCTTTGGTTCCTTGACAATTGATTTCGACTAACAGCATTCCGGCGCGAACTTCAATAGCAAAGGAACTCAGTCTTGCTATTCCAGCATCAATACTGTTGGGATTTGGGACGTTGTTCCTATTCTTGAGCGTTGGTATATATGTATAGTAATTTAATTGTTACTCCAAAGAAAGTCAATGGAGAGGCGTTACATTGAATCAATGAAAGACCAATCAACCAGCGTTGAATACAATTACAATAGTTTATTCTTCCATATTATACGAGTCTTGTACTTGTCAATTACCCAATCTTAACATGGTTGCTGTTTATCAACCAGAAAAAGATATTACAGATTATTATAAAGTCTTTCGATTCTTCTATAAAATATATATACGTTCAAAAGAACGCAAGTCCAGCTTTTTTTACTGGTCATATAGTCCCATAACATTTCCCCCCATTGTCTTGAGGATGACAAACCACGCGTGGGCCCAGCAACGCATCGGTCTCCAAATGTTCAAAATCATCAGACGCACTTTCGGACTGGATATCACAATCGTATTCTGCCTCTTCATCGGATCTATCATATAGTCAATCGAGATGCTTCTCTTTAGCATTTTGCGACCACCACGGGAAGAGCTCATCTCCATCTAATAAATAAATGGCTCCCCTAATAATGGCCAAAACACCAGCCATAAATCCTATCATAGACCACCAAACGCCTACTTCTTTGAAGACTATCATTCCGCTAATTGCAACAAACGTAACATGAGAAGCATAAAACATTGGTTGGAATTGAGTAACTTTGTATTTGCTTAGTGCGATCTGTTTACAAATCTCCTGTCCGGATATGCCAACGGCAAGCGCAACAGCAACTGCAGTCATCAATAATGCAATCATTGGTATGCTAACAGTCTCTCCGTTACTGAATACGTCAATTAACCCACTTCCTTCCTTTCTCGCATCCACCATCCAAAGTCTCAACAACACGGCCAAAAACTTTGACGCCACAACGGTCACAGCTCCAAATCCTGCTGTCATAATCACATATAAAACTAACGACGGTTGTTCCTTTTTTCTAGTGCGTACCGTTGCAATCAGCAAACATTCTGCAAGGGCAATTACACACAGCCAGACAGTTACTCGAGGTTGGGTGATGTAGGAAACAAGCCGTGCGCCAGTCGATAGATCGTTCTCGATATCCTTTGTGGTCATTGCCGAAAACAGAATAGTAGTCAGCACGCCGAGTAAGATCCAAACATAACCTAGTCGTTGTTTGAATGAAATATGTTCGTTGAGAAAGCAACTAGCCAGAACGGCGTTGATAATTACAGCCAGGATTCCGAGCGGAGTAACGACTGATGCGGGAATGAGAGACAGGGCAATCCAGTTTCCGCATAGTTCACCAAGGTATACGAGGGTTATTCCAGTTAACCATACCTTGTCATTGATGCGAGAGTATGTGTAAGGTTTCGATCGAGATATTGAACGGGGTGTTGGTGGTGGGGATGCATCCGAATCGCTGTTATAATTGACATTTGAGGCAGATCGGTTTAACGCTTCACCGCGTGTCAGAGCGTATTTTTGCAAGCAGTTGCCTACGCCAATCACTGTATTTCCAGCCAGTGCGGCAGTCAGGCCCACGACGAAAGACATGTTTTCCGACGGCTTAAGGGAGAGAGGAAAAGGAGGAGAGAAGAAAAGACTGGTGGTAGGAAAGGGGGAAGTAAAACGTAAGGAATGTGGAAAGGCCGAAAAGGAGTGAGTGGATGAATGTTTGGAAAAAAACGGCCTGGTCTAATGGAGAACAATGAATGTGAATATACTTGACTTAGTATGCCTGTTTTGGGGGCTAGAGCCACAGCTACTACAGATCGCCACAATCACCACAAGCGCCACCCAAATTTGGTATTAGTATCATGTGATATCGGATCACAACGCGTCGGTTTTAATTATCAACAGAACGTTAAACCCTTTCTTAATTCAGGCTGGGCTTTATTGTAATATCAATTTGAAACTCAAATACAATGTTTGAACTCAAATCGGGTGAGTTGATTATTGTAATACGTGTTAACTGACTAGCATGAAATGTTTCGGAATACTGTGAATATTATTACAAAGGCGTCTATCAATGTCATGGCAAAGAGGATGGACGAGTGAAGTGTGGTTTCAGAACAATTTTAAAGTAGATAGCTGAGTAACCAGACAAAGTGAACATTTTATAAATGAGAGGCTGATTATGTGGCTGTAAAATTGACCAGTGTGACTGATGACATTTTGAAAAGTATCAATGTATAATTATAATCTTATTCATAATAATAACTTATTATTATAGACTTGTTAATTTTAATGTTCCCATTATCGTACCAGAATGTGATGAATAAATAACAAGATTAATATTAATATTGCTTTTGTGAAGCCATTATATTCATATATTAATATAAATAGTCCTATATATATATACATTTTTGTAATTTATGACCATTTATATTTAAGTAGTATATCAAGCATGAGCATTAACATGGCAAATTATTAATGTGTTGTGAAATAGGCAGGAGTATAACACGTTTTCGACCTTTTAATAGATATCGAGGGAAGATACTTGATGGTCTTTGACTATGCCAACAACAGGTCATTGCGGAAATACTTATCGACACCAGCTATCAAACTAGATTGGCTTGCCAACTGTCAACTAGGTTTGGATATCGTTAACGAACTAAGATATATTCACAAAGCAGGAATTTTACATAAAGATTTGGTAAGTGTATTATTTATTCATACAATTCCGATCTTATTTAACGTTACAGTCAACTTCCGTTAATTCGTCCCCTTTTAATTCGGATGTCCGATAATCCGGACGTTTAACGCCAGACTCTTTTTTTCATATTTAATTCCTTCCTTTTATTCGTCCGATACTTATGAAATCACGATAATTCGGACAGCTGTCACGGATCAACTGTATAAATTAAGTATTGTAAAAGACAGCTTTAATTCGGACATTGACTATCAT